ATCGTTTTGATATCACACGGGCATGTGTGTGTGTATTATACGTGCGGAGGGCTCGCGGCTGCCCGTGTGATGATAAGCAAAAGTCCATAAACACGACGGCGTCGAGGTCCGCTTGAAATATTCAGGTAAACATGGTGAAAGAAAATCCAGCCGCCGGAGATTTATTCGTGTCAAGCGTGGAGGGGCAAAATATTAAATTACTGTAATGCCGATAAATCATTTGCAAGAAATAAGCACGCGTATATATAAATATGCATATAGCGCACAACACACGCAGCGGCACACCAGCATCATCTCGGCAAAATTCTGGTGTGCAAAAGAGAGGCCGGTTGTGCTCCGAGAGGAGAGAAAATCCAGGACAACTTTCTGCCACAAATTGAAAGTTCACCAAGATTTTTCATTGAAACAAGTTTAGAAAACTGTCATATTTTTTTAAATTATGAAATAAATTAATTTTAATATAAATTTTTTTCAGTATTTTTTTTTTTCATTCTAGGAAAACATAATTAAAGTCATTAATGTGGAAGCTTTTAAATATTTTGCTTTTTCCTCTCACTCTTTTTTCTTGCTTTCCGCAAAACGTGCAATGGAAATGTTTCATTTTAATGAACGCAGGCAGTGTGAATTTTTGCAATAAATAACAAAATAGTTGCAAAAGATATGAAAAGTTGGCTATTTTTAGCTGTGTTCGCTTCTGCAACAGCAAACATTATAAATCACATCGCAGCTCTAGTTTTGCATACAGCGAGAGGGTAATGTATCTCCTCTGATGAGTAAGTGTGAGTAGCTTTTCATCACACAAATGAAAATGGCGTGAATTACAACTGTGTGCAAAAGCAGAAGCACACATCAGCACCATGGAGCATTAAAAATGTTCTCCATTCATCACGAATGAGAAGGGCGCCACTGTGAAATAGTTTTTTTGTGTAACAGAATTTCTTGAATATTTTTCCTTCAAAATTTTATAAAAGAGAGCTGAGCGAGACGATTGAAAATATGAAATGATTCATTTCATTTCATTTTATTTTTTTTTTAATGTAAATTTTATCAAAAGAAAAAAAATATAGTTGAATATCTTCAACCACAGGCCCGCATATAATTCAAATTTCTTAACACTTGCTTAACGCAAAATAAAATTTTTCCCTGTTGGTCCCTATAAAATTGCATGCAGTTTTAATTATACTTTGATAAGGAACTAACTAAAATTAACAGTAAAATTTCAATTAAGAGATAAAATCGCCAAAATGAAATTATTAAAACTTCCCCAAACAAAAATGCACCCACGTCGCTGCAGGTTTAATTCCTGACGTTTCCGGTGCTTCCTTTGAAGACGAACCCTTTCGCCCTCCACGTTGCACAATAAAATAATTAAAACGAGGCGCAGCAGAGCTGCATGCGGCGCTGGCCGTTTGATTTATCTGCAACAACACGCCACCACGATAACAATAAGTGCGATGAGCGCTCCGCGAGAGCACGGAGATAAAAATTACACTTTTCGCCCGACGAGTTTTGTTCGCCGGCGCGCCGTATATTAATCATCATTTCAACTTCCTCCGCGTCCAACCCTCCGCTATGCAAAATCCCCGGCACAGAAGCGGCGCGACCCGAAATTTTCAGCTGCGGGAAAATCGACACTGGCACGGCAAAATGATTTTCACTGATAAATTATATTTTTCAAGCACTCTCTTTTCAAGAAACACGACCTCGCACCAAGCACAGACGATTCAGACTGCCGATGAACAAAAAACGAAGCATGGCCGCCCCGCAGCCGGCCGGTCTATTTCTTCTTTTTTTCCAACGGCTGTTATTATAATTCTGCCCTCCGAGAGGCTCTCGCAGTTATGGCCGCGCATCAGCCAGGCCGGTTCGGAGAGAAAAGTTTGGCAACAGTGGCCTATTATTATTTATGTTCCTATATGAAAAGAAGCGCTGCACGGCTCAATTTGATACAAAGCGCGCGGCTGGGCCTTCATTGTCCGCAGCTAGAGTCAAGGTGAAGCAGCGTGCAGTGTTTGAACAGGGTTTGGCTCTTTTTTTTGCGTAACCGACCAGCTGACTCGTGGCCTAAAAAGCAGGACGGACGACGAAGGTAATTACCAAAAGTACTTTTACAGTTATTGACGAGATAGTCATACGCGAGTATGCGTTCCACTCAATTAACTTTCACGGTGGAATTTTGGTTTTGAAAGAACACTAATTTTCTCAGCGATTTTAATGAAACTTGCTCAAAAATTCTTATGATAAATTAATATTTTTATAACTTTCTTAAATTGGAAAAGAAATAATTATTTAAATAACAATGTCGAAAATAATTGTCAGGTCTTTTAACAAACAAATTATTAATAAATTATTTCGTTCCACGCTTGTTTTTAAAATTTTGTTTACAAAAAGGTTAATGTCATGACAAATTTTATGATTTATGAAAGTATTTTATAATCTTTCCAATTATAAAAAATGAGGTTTTAAATTAATAAATTTTGGTGACAGATTTTTTTTTTAAAATTTATGTTCGTTAAATCACTTGACAAAACAAATGTTTTAAATCCTGATTATGGCCGCGTTTGCAGCTGAAATTTTTGAACAAAAGGGCAAACAAAAAGCTCTCACACACAGAGAGACGCACCAACCAGCCAGCAACATTCGCGACAGACCAGCGGATGCGCAAAATAAACAAAAATAAATAAATGACGAATGCGGGGGATGAAGGCTTGTATTTCATCATTGCATCAGTGGAGACGCAGAGCGAACGGACGTGCCCTGGCAGCTGCCTCCACTCGTGCCACCCCCGGGGGCGGTCTCTCGCTCTACTCGCAACCGCTTCACACACCGGCCTATACGGATTCCCGAGCTTGGGCCGCCGTATAATGGCAGCGGCATTTGGATGATTTATTCAGTCAGAAGAGCTCTGTTGTTTAAAATGCGCTCGCCATATCATCTAATACCTAGGCGCAGACAATTTGTCATGCAAACTTTTTTCAACTTGCGTTTTCCATAAAAAATTATATATCTCCCGCGCACATCAACCGAGAAAGGACATGAAATCAATTGGCCTAAATATACATTTTTGCAAATTGCACACGATTTCCTGCACGACATTTTTGTTATTTTCATTCCGTTCTGCGCATAATTCATTTTTCTGATACTTTTGTTCAAATCAATGCGGCACTGTCATGCGTTAAATTGCCAAAGGGAATTATTTGCGCTAATTAATAAGATTAATTGTCATTTGTATAAATGTTTGAATAATTTCACGTGCTGCTCAAAAACACCTGGTGCAATTGAATTATTGTATTCCTTATTGTGTGCGTGCGATATTAATAGAGGTCGCCAATAATTATCAATAATGCTGTAATAAACGACGCCGGCAATAAATAATGAGCTTACGTTGGGCATTACAGATGAATGTGTTGCTGCTCCCGTACTCGCCCCGTGTACGTATGGGCCCCAAGTGACGCACACGGTATGCACTTTGTGTGTTCAAGATTCCCACTAATTAAAGCTCACACCAAGGTGGATTACTCTGTACGTACACGCCGAGTAGAGAAACATTTTAGCAGCAGCCGAAAGGTCTGTTAATTTTTTTTCGTGAGATTCAGATTGTATCTATTACCTTTTTATTGTTGTGGGAGTTGGAATTTCATTTCACACGTCGATAAAATTATTTTTCATCGGCCATTTACCGGCCGTTCGTTTTTCATGGCAGATTATTTTACGATGTGCTATTAATGGCTTCATTAAATTGTAAGGGTTCACAATTCCATGCGGAGAGATTATTATTATCGAGCAGTCGTTTTTCGCCTGCTTATTATTTTAATCACAGGTTCTCTCTGTTATGTGAATGCGAAAGCACTTTTTCTCTCTCAACTAAACCAGCAATATGAATTACAGCCGACAACGAAAAAGCAAAATAATGTCCGCTCGCTTCGTTCCGAGTTTCGCGTGGTGAACGCCACAATGTGTTAAAAATCGATGAAAGGACGTAACATAACAGTTTTATACATTTTTTAAAAATAGCTACGCGTCTGCAAGTGAAGTGAATCGAGCATTTTAAGAGCCGCTGAATGGTTTGAGTCGTGCTGGTTGTGTATTTATTCTGTACGCGGCCATAACTCAGCGGACGAGGGCAGTTGCGCCGAATTAGCAGACCTCTGGTGGGGAAAGCAGGTAGCAAAATAATATAAATTTGAGTAAGAAACCGTTCTATATACTCTTAATGAGCAGCTCTTGAGACTTCAAATCAATTTAAATGCAAAACCTCAAATTAATATTTGCTAATTATATTTTGTTTTCATGCAAACCTCTATAATATTTTATAAGCATGGATTTCACATGGGGCCCTGTTGCGAGTGAACTTTTGGAAAATTTCCGAGCAAAGGTCAACAAAGAGAGAAAGAGGGAAACGGTGGTGGATGACAAAGGAGGAAGAGCAAGAGAATTTAGCGTCATTATATGGAGCTGGGATGGGGTCGGATTAAAGCAGAAGGGCGACAATGGCACACGCAGCTCGTTCCGACTCGGCCAGACCGTTACGCACGCCGCTTTAAACTATTATTTCGTCAAGATTTCAGGAATATCCAGTATAATATGCGTGGTGAGAGCATTGGTAATTAAATTATTTGAGCATAAGAAAATTTTATTCTTTTAGAGAAAGGTTACAAAAAGAAAAAAATATGTTAAGAGCAAAAAAAAAATTGCCTTGACATTGCTAACGAGTTATTAGTTTTTGTAATCATGCGTAAGATTTTAATTCGTTTGCGGCCAATTAAATTTTTAATGACGCTCCTTTCAGCAAAATGACTTCGCAGCAAAATAAATGGGAGGAGCAAATGATGAGCTGATGGAGAGAGGAGGCTAATTACGCGCGCACTTTAATTAAACAAGACGGATTTAATCTCGGTGCAAACGCAGCGAAATAATAATCAGAGCAAAGTTCTGTTAAAAAGATAAGAAGCATAGGTCATTTTTCTTGCACAGGGGCGCTATCTCGACCAGCAGATATGATTTACTGCGCGCCTCCAGAAGCATTTCTGCGCGCGTGGGTCTATTGCACCCCTTGCTCGAGAGGCTTGTGAGAAAGATTAAAAGCCACGTTTAGAAGTGATCTGACCGCGAAAATCCATTAAAATCTCGTAAGTCAGAAGTGAGGATTTTTTTATACTTTTATTCTCCACTCTCGTTTTCTTGTAAGACCGAAAATATATCGAGTCGTCTCGTCTATAGAGAAGGCACTACTTCTCTTCTCGCAAAGAAAACAAATTTAAAAGCCATAAAATCGCTCCTCGCCGAGAGCGAACCGACGTCTCAATTTTCCTATGAGCAGCCGAGGGACATAAAATCCGCCGCAATCGGAACATAATGGAGGTCGTAAAACGCCAAGACAAGCAGTCAAAATAGTTTTAATTAGGCACCTGTTTTACGAGCACACCTCTAAGCGAACGAGCAATAAAACGCAACCTTGCACTTTAGGTAAACTGATATTATTAAATTTAAAGCGTGCGACGCGTTTCGCGGATTTCTTTCCTGATTATTTTTTCGGCAAGAAGTGAAAAGCAGAAGCAGGGGTATCACATGTTTTTATCACCCGGCAAATTCACAGCACACACACGGAGTGAGAGAGCCAGCGAGGCCATAAAAGAAGTGTATAAAAGTGCGGCAGGTCAGGAATATAGTCATATTATGTGCCCACGTGCTGCTCTTGCTCTGCTGCCGGTGGACCTTTTTGCTCTCTCTGGAAATTTAGAGGAGAGAGACGTGAATTCGTGCTGCAACCCCCCTCTAGCTGCACTCGCCTGCATTACGTCGAACCGCACTACCCCTCCGCAGGGGGTGATATCTGTTGAGGGAAGGTAATGGGCAATATCGCCAGCACTTGAATGCTTGTCAAGTGCTCTTTATTATCTGCGCTGAATAATTCATTCAATTTTAAACAAACGTGGTAAGGATTTTTTTTTTTTTGAGAGTTGAAGACGAATTTCTGAATTAATTTTTATAAAAGAGAGCCGAGCGAGCGATTTAAAATATAAAATGATTCATTGTTTTCAAAATTTTTAATAAGACTTGTTTCTAAATAAATATTTGAATTAATTAGAAACAGCGACCATAATTATTCAATATTTTTTTTATTAAATTTCTATTCAGGATTTTATTTCAAGTGACGGAGAGCAGAAGAGATTCAATTTATATATCCCTCAATTTTACTTTCAAATTTTTTTTTGACAAAATTAATTTGCCTAACTGTGGTGGATGGAGTCTTGTTGACCTTATTGTTAGAAGTTAATCAAAATTGTTGCTTCAATTTAATCAAAAAATTTGTTATATAATATCACCCCAAAATATAATTCATATTTTATTTCAAATTTATGAATATTTAAAAATTTGGAAAGAATATAATATATTATAAAATTGAAATTCCACTTCATAATAATTATGAAGTTTAAAAAGAAATAAACATATTTTCCAATTAAAAAGCTAGGTATAATATATTGATACAAAATATTTTTTTACTCGAAATTTCTTTTTTTTTCTTGTTAAATGTATTCTAACATGAATTTTTCTTTACAATTTTCTATACTTTTACTTCAACTGGTTTATTTGTGAGGTTTTTAGTCTTTTTTTAATAAAGTTTTACAAAAACCGCACTTAGGAACACAAACAGTGAGCATTTTTGTTAAAAAGATCTGGGCTGGTTAGGCTTTGTTTGGTCGCTCCGCAGCAGCAGTCGTCTTTTATGTTTATATACGCTTTTCAATCTCGGCGCATCCTAAAAAGGTGAGCCGCCGCTCGCACAATGACTGAGGGTGTCATGCTATTTCAAGAGAGGGAGAGGTTACAAAGGGAAGGTTTTATGGCGTGCTAACAGCTCAATGATGACTACTTATTTAAAAACTACTCCATTACCCGGCGGGCACAATTGGTTTCCATTGAAAAGGTGCCGCCGCGCGCGGTTTTAAACCTTTTCAATTGCGCGCGACTAATTTCGGAAATGGCTATGTGGCTTTTTAAAGACGTGGAGCTCATAAAATATATGGAGAGACACTTAAGAGATGAATATTCTTGACACTAATTTTTGCGCTCCTGTGATGAAGGCAAAATAGTTGCAAAATACCTATGAGAGAATTTCTCGTAACTCTTTCGCAATAGCTTTGGGCGCTAATTCATCAAGCATTTTGATGCTTGTCAAAGTACTAGGCTGTAATTAAAAACTGTTAGATCTAGCCTCGAATGGACTAGTTGCATAAATATAATATTTTTAAATTTATATATAAAAAAGTGGTACATATAATTTAATATTTTAAATATGCAATTATTATTCAAAAATTTGAAATTTATGAACTTGATTATAATTTTAGATTTTTTTACACTTCGAAATTTTAGAAAATAAATACCAAATATTTCTTGAAAATTTTATTTTTTTAAGAGAAATAATTTCTTAATAAAAATTCAGCTCATAAATGACTTTGTGAATGATTTGATCCCCGTTTTTTTGAGGTTCTCGGGGCTTTCTTACACACTAATCCCCATTTGCCCAGCACCCAGCATGCGGAGAAGCAAAGATGTGAACCAGACCTGTACCTGCAATCGCCATCCAAGGGTAGAAAGTGTGGTTGGAGGACTGCTGAAGCTGAGAGGCCTGCTGACTGACGGCGGCCGCTGGGGCATTGAGCGAGCAGTTGTTCCAATTGAGCGCCGACCGATGGGCCGATGTCGGACTTGTGGTGACTGCGGGATGGTCGGAGAGGCCATTGGCGCCTCCGGCCCCCGAGGAGTATCTGTCAGGAGTGCAAGCAGCAGGCCTCACGGGCACTCCGGAGGCCGGCGGCCAGGATCCGATATCAGACTTGGATGTGGCCGTGGCGGCGGCCAAGGCGGCCGCGTACCCATTCTGCTGGTCGGACGAGGAGTTGGAGGAATTTTTGGCGTCCGCGGCCGACTTGTAGGCAGTTTCGGCCGCGGACTGCATCTGCGAGGAGTAAAGCTTGCACGAAGCGACGGCAGCAGCTGCAGCAGCGGCGGCTGACGCGTCGTACGGTGAGTCCTGCGGACGCGACTGGTGATGGTGTTGGGCGTACGGCGACATGCCCAGGCTGAGCGGGAACGTGCGGTACGCCGACTGTTCGGAGCCCTGGGCCCCGTAGAAGGTGCTGGCTTGCTCGAAATACGAGTTCATCATCTCTGCTGTGCGTTTCCAAAAATGTCTTTAACAGAATGTCAAACTCTTCGGACGTGTCTTACGTAGCAAAGTCGAGGACCAGGTGTCACGTGGGCAGGAGCGGTGCGTTCACTCCGCGCCCCACAACCATACTGAGCACCGGCCGCGTGCCCGCCCCGACGTGATAAACGACCCGGCGGCCTTCGCTGGCTCCCGCTTGGTGGCGCCCCAGACGTGATAACAAAAAATCGCAGTCGTAATGGGCCAATCGCAATCCAATTCGTCACGGCTCTCTAAAACTCGCGCGCAAACACTCCGTATGGACAATGGGAACCGGTTCACCGTTCTGCCGATTTTGCCGCTGAAGAGAACCTACCGGAGAGAAATTGTATAGTAGGTTAGGTTTTGGCAAGAGCACAGTTTTACCGATTCCACGGCGGTTGATTCAGTTTTTCGTACCGATTAATCGTCTGTCAAGAGGCACGTCGGTATTTCCACAAGCCCGCGGCACGGAGAACCGCCCATTTACTATGGTGTGCAGCCCCCCCACCGCTAATGCGCGTGGCGAAGTAGTTCTCATGTGGCGAGCACGTTGCGATCCCCTCCATCGGGGGCCGTCCTTAACGAGCAGCTTAACGAGCTGCCAGCGCTATCGAGCGGGATCCTGCTGAACTCACGCGCGTGTAAATGCTATCGCAGGCTAATTTGGCGTCATTACGACTTTTAAATGAGCCTATTCATGCTTTATTGTAATTTTTATGGAAGCAGATAAGGTGGCGCGTGTATTTTATTACACATTTGAATAAATAATAAGCAGCTACCGTATAATTATAGCTTTTTTGAGACATCAACGATGAAAACACTTATTTTCACTTTTATTTTATATTTTTGTTTTATATTTTTATTTTATTCTTAAAATTTAATCGAAACTTAAGAATCATTCATATTAATTTTTCCAACTTTGATTAAATTTTTTACTTCAAAGATCCATTTTTTTTATAATTAATTCTTTCAGAAAATATTACAGCAAACAAATTAGTGGACAAAAAAATTTATTTATTTTTATAATAAATTGTATAGCTCAAATCTAAATTATTAAATATTTGTATTTTATTATTTACATATTAATAATATTTAATAAGGTTAACCACTTATTTTCACACATATTATTACTAACAATTTAATAAATTTAAGTCATATTGTTTGTTTTATGAAGGGGAAGAAAGGATTATGCAACGTGTCGTTCAGTGGTGGAGCGCTGGTTGCCTACCTGGCAACTGAGTGTCGCAAACAATGACAAGCACATTTGGCGCACGCAGTCAAATGAAGGGCTCAATGAGACGAGCGTGGTACGGAATGTCATAAAAATACATGTTTATATAAAAAGCGTCGTAAAACGTGTGAAAACACAATAAAGCGCACTTCTTGTTAGGGGGCAATAAATTTGTATTTTTACAGAAACGGCACTGGCCGCAGGGTTGTGGTAGGTCTTTTATGAGTGTGTTTTTACAGGCAGCTCATAAAGTGGGCCATAATCTGAGTGAAATGTGTCAGTTTCAAGCACCTCAGAGGCAGGCGTCGTAAAAAGGGACGCGTGTCACAAACCTCGTCAGCAGCTCGTCATCGCACACGTTTTAAGGCCATTTCGCAAGCGGTTTCCTCCTTGTCAATAAATAACAATTTTGCTTTCAACAGTTTAGTTTAACTGAGACTTATTTATTTTTAAACATATAATTATTAAACGCTGCTAAAAATAGACTGAACTTAATTTATTCTTCACCATGATTAAAATAGCGGTGTACTTTTGAATTAATTATAATTACACGGGGACGATAAATATTATACAAACCACGCCTTTGGTAACCGAGATTCTAATTTAAAGAAAATTAAAATTTACTCTCAATTATTAAATCAAAATAATTATTATTTATTTTTAGCCAGCCTAAATAAAATAAGGCCTGAGGCAATTAAGCTGTCAATTATAGGTAGCCAAGGCTGACCTTGTAACGTTTTGAAAGGTGCGTTGACCTGGCCCGGGAATTTTTCAAAGCCGAGAACCTCACATATTTCAACCTTCCTTATGCGGCATGATAAAAGAGACGAGCTCTCGATAGCACGGCGGCTTAAGGCATCTGTGCATGCTTTTCTCTCCCGACAGCCCACGTGCTTCCATCTGGAAGCTCCGCTCCGAACTCCCAGCAGCCAGCAATTATATTGATTTTTATATCTCCACTCTGATGGCTTGAATGCTCAATAAAAGTTCACCAAAAGGGCCATATTCTCCCCTTTTATGCTCCGAGTGGTAATCCTCGGCATTTTAAGGCCCATTCGCAATATCACGTGCAGCAAAATGTTTCCGCACTTTCTACAAACAGGTAGCAAAATGAAAAATATAAAATGCGTGCATATTTCAAAGCACCAATTATTATATGCATACACAATATTTGATTAAAATAAAATAAAACTGAACGTTATTTCCTCACAAAATTTGTGAAAACTTGGCAGAACGTATCAATTTTACCAACTATACTAATTTTCCTTAATAAACAAATCAGAATAACTACTTATAGAAAGCAAAAGTAGAAAAAAATGCAAATGAGCTGAATATAACTCCGCGTATAGCTAGTGGATAAATTATTACGCATTGTTTGCCATAGTGGCAGAACACAATGGAAGATTTTTTTTGCTAATTAACTTTCCGTGTTTTCAAAACAAAACAATGAGGATTCTCTGAAAGTCAGCTTCTTTGAAAGGAATTCGATTATTCTCTCTTGATAGGCAGCTCAATATATAAACAGTTATGTACTCCTTATTCATTCTTGGGAGAAACTATGAGAAAAATTTAATTTTAAATACATGAGTGTTTGGCTCAAAAATTTTTAAATCCTATTGGCATTTATTGAGCTGATTTGTGTAAACTCAATATTTTTACTCTGGGGAATTTTATGCATATCGGCGCCTGCGAATGAGATTTGTGGTTGCTGAAGAAACTTTCCGAGAATTTCAAAGTGGAGAAACGCCCCTGCCTCTGCTTAAAAATGCATTTCAAAGTGTGTTGGTGTGTTTCTCTCCAGAGCGCTCCAGAGGTTGAAGAGGTGTCAAATATATTACACCATGTGGGTACGGCTGTGACCAATAAATTTAAAGAACTGCTGTCAATTTAATGGCTTGTTTTTTTGAGTAATATTTCGAGTCACGCTAGAAAGCGAGTTCTCTAATTTGGTTTCCGTGTTTCCACCCTCACACACATTTGTTTGCCACAGGTTCAGTAACCCTTTCATAAATCATAGCTGTTTTAATAGGAACAGATTTTAAACAATTCATCAATGCCGAATTTTTGCGCTGCACCCAGCAACAGAATTTGAAAGTTTTTTTGCTTTCTTTGCGATAAACGTTTTTATTTCTTGTTTCAAAATGTTGAGCGTGAATTAAGAAGGGTCTGTAACTCAGACCAAGAGCGCGATTTAACTTTGAGGCCCTCAGCATTGTAATAAAATACCGCCTCAGTGTCAGTGTTATCACTCAAAAATATATTATGTGTGCATGTCCATACATACACGCACACGGCGAGACTGCAGCACTGCTTTGCGTGTCTGAGAGCTTTATATTTACAACGACATGCCTTCATACAGAGATTTACGATAAACACTTTCTTTCAGAGCGTATATTAACTACAGACTAAGCAACCAATAACTCATAATAAATATAAAAAATACATATAAATACACCATGTAAAACTAGAACTGCTAAAATTTAAGTTTTAGAGAGTCGGCTTAAAAAATATTTAATTGAAAAATGCAATTTTTAATTTTATTATCTCTAAGAAATCATGAATTCATGCAAAATCATTTTTAATTGCATGTTTATACATTTACGCATTAAATACCAGTTAACTAGTATAATTTAAAATTAAATTTCTTCAAAATTATTTCTTTCTTTTTACTTTCAAAGACGTTTTGAATTATCTTAATATACTTTAAAAAAATAAAAATGTTTTAATTTTAAAACCTTTATGCGAAAAATAGAGCTTTGCCATTGCCATTAATAATTTAAAAAAAATTCATCAAGAATATAAGGCCATCTTCTCAATTTATTAACGTCACCTTCACCTCTCTCAAATTTAATAAAGTACTTTCTTCGATAAAGAGAAAAAGCATGATCATGATAGCAAAACCAATATTAGTATTATACATTTCAATTTCTCTTTGTTGTTTTACAATTTTATAAATATATATTGGCCCAGATATATTTTTAAATTTAATCATGCTAAAATACCGCAAATTTGTTTTGATTAATCAATATGAAAAATAACAAAGCAAATTTTAAAAATGCGTTGTTTATACATCTGAAAAAAAATGCGACAAAGCAATTGAGGAAAATGAACATTGAAAGTAGCCAGAAATCTTGTAATGTACGCACGTTAGCAGCACAATGCAAAATAATTTAAACCTTTACGTTAGTGCTTACTTATTAAATCAGAGGATTTTTCATTTATTCAATCCTCTATATTACACTCTAAAAAAAAACATGAGTTTTCATGAGTTTTTCACGTCTTTTCACGAAAATGGCGCCATGAATTTTTATTCCAGGCCTAAACATGAGAATTCATATTGAGCAGCGGAAAACTCACGTCTGCCATGAAAAATCATCATGTACATGAACCACGCGGAAGGGTTTCAGGTCGCGTGTCCTGTTTTGTCTCTCCTCCCGCAGCAAGTACATAGAAAATTCTTCCTCCCCACAACAACCCTCTTCGATGCTCGGACCTTTTCGTTGTTTACTTATATACCTAAAGGATTAAATAGGGGAAGTCTCGCTGGCCAGCATTATTTCTCCACCTTTCCTTCTTTTTGAAAACAAACCAACGGCCAAAATCAGTTCGTGTCTCTTACTTACAGCAAAAACACATACATTTTTCTTTCGGACCATCTAAACAACATATAAAAATGTGCCGGATTTTCGCCCTCATCGTCTGGAATTTTCAATTTTAAGGTCAGTAATCTTTTTCGTTTTAATTCATGATTGTTAAGAAAATATTTCTTAACGTGGATCGCTTATATAATTGAAGTGTTTCATCATTCTATTACAAGAAAAATTCTTATAAATTTTCTCTCTTTTCAGGCTACCCGTAACTTTTCTCCAACATCTTTTCATGCTTCAAGTTTGAAGTTTGGAATTGCTGCACTGCATTATCATCGCCGATAGCCGATATGTGTTCCATTTTAAAGGCACCATAATCTTGGAGGATTTATTATAAAATTAAGGTAAATAATGTTTTTAAATAATTGCATTGCGCATACATATTTTTCTTCTTCTAGATATTCTTAAATGCAATTTTAATAATGTGGTTTTTGCTATGTTCACAGGTTTCCATGATAAAAATCCGGGATACAGGACAGGGATCAAGAGGGCTGTGAAATGAAGAAGACTTGCATCTCATCACAAAGTTTCTACACATGATTGTTATGGACAAAGTGACTTAAATTTTCTCAGTGTTGATGTGATTTATTTTGAACCAGATTGGAATAAAACTGAATGAATCCATAATTTTAATTAATTTATATTTTCTTTAACACCAAATCCTAAATAATGAAAATAAAAAGCGCGAAATATATTTTTATGCGAAGCCGTGAATTTTCATATTGCCGGCATACCAAAATTCATGCCTCTCATGAGAACTGCCCAAGCGACGCCAGTAAAACTCATGCGCGCATGGATCCTGTGAGCGTACCTCATGAAAACTCATGTCGCACCTGAATTTGAGATTCATGTCGCGATGGTCTTTGAATTACACGTTATTTCATGAAAATCCCTCCAGGTTTTTCTTAGAGTGTATACATGCCGGGTGGTCTTACTCTCCGAGTTTATTATCTGGCACTGTGTTCGAAAGCCATTTTTGCTGCTCACATTTATCTTTGACTCTCCGGCTGATAAATGCGAGGACGCTTGATTTACAATTTGGATGGTTGTCTTCTCGGATTATTTTCTTATTCTTTGTAAAAATGTAAATTCGTTTCTCCTTTTGAATTTAACATTAGCAGTTTTGCGTTGGTAGCGCAGACGCTGCCGAAATGGTGTCCAGTATATTAAACTCTCCGCTGTTATATTCGGTTTCAGTTAATAAAGCATCGCCCAGTTAGGGATCTGCTGGGTGTGTGTTGCGAATATTAAAAGAAAAACGTGCAAATTTTCTGCAAATTTTGGCATTTTTTGGGGAAATTGGTCGCCTCAAAATACGATTCATATTTTAATTTTACATAAAATACGAACCTGGTATTTTTTTTCACCCAAGGACAAAATGACCGAGGCTAGTGCCCCTATATGCTGCTCTCTGTACATTTTATCTCCCAAGCTTCTCTGATATCCAACCTCATAAATTTGCTCTCCCTCGAGTACATACACGCAGCGCACTGTCTTATCATGCTAACATTTTTTATGCTTAAATGGCGGCGAGAATCGAGAACACCTCTCTAGGATGGCATTGCAGACAGTTTAAATCAGCAGTCCCGTCAACGACAGTATATAAGAAAAAAGGAAGTCCAACCTTTATCACAAAATAATAAATTATTATTTGTGGCCTAATGCATTTTCTTTAGTCACGCGGACCGAAAAAGGATAATCTCGCTCTTGATTCTCGCTTAAGTGCCTTTCAACGACCATTAAAATTATCTCAATCTCTCAATTCAAAGCAGGCATAATCGCGCAATTTAAGATATTGCCAGCAGGAACTTTATGGGCTTTTAAAATATTTTTGTTCGCCGTAATGTATATTGAAATATATAATTAGTTAAAATGAGCGGAGGGAGAATAAATTAATCTGCCTGAAAATGGTTTTGAAAGAAAACTAGCATCGTCAACAATTGAATGCAGTTTGTTTGTAAACGTTCCTACTTTTCCCACTGACCCTTAACCCCTTTGGCAAAGATCAGCAGCGATGCAATTAGAAAAGAGCTGCCGAGTTGAAAATCCTCCAGTAGGACGTCGAGAGCAACTTTTCTTTTTCTTAGAATGGTTTTACAACGGGCCCGTAAAGTTGAGCGCACACCACGTCATGCTCTTAACAATGCGGGACAGACGCAAAACGACAAAATAACACTAACAATGCCCCAACAGGGACTATTACCCTTTTCCAGCGAGAGAGAGCAAAAGGCCTTGTCCCAGAGCAGCTAAAGGACCCTCTTTTGTGCAATATGCACTTTGAGGAGAGCAACCTAGTTGTGTGTATATAGGCCGACGAAAATAAAGCCACAAACAGACACATCCATAGTCTCTAGGCGCGGGTTTTACTCTTAAAAGTTTAACCTTGAACTTGGCTTTTTTCAGAGCTTGGCCTTCGATGACTGCATGATGGCATCAACGGACGGCCACGAAAACAGCTGAGCAACTCCACCAACAGCTATTTTGAAGCAGAAAAATTATGAAGTGAGAAGAAAAAGAAGGTATGAATATTTAATATGATCTTATAAATCATGTCTCCAATTTATTTACTATTAACTAAAATGCTGCGATTTTAAAATTTTGTTGAAAAAAAGTTCAAATTAACTTTAATATAATGTTATATTTTAATTACTCATCTTAAATGCCAAATTCCCCATAAAAAAGACGCATGCAAGTATTATTTGGTTTCCTATTTTGATTTTTCCACAGACTGCTTAAATATTTTTAGTTAACCAGTTTATTTATTCAGGTTTTTTTTAAATAATTGATTTATAAAACAATAATTTCAATTGCACATCCTCCAGTTATTTAATTTTTCTCATAAAAAAAAGTAAAATAAAATAAATAATTAAAATTTTATTTCATATATTTCGTATAGATTTAAAATTTTAAAGACGAAAATAGAGTAATTATATTAAATTTAAATTGTTTTATTAAAATGGCGGACGCCTTCTTAAAAGGCTAGAAACATTTGAAAACTATGAAAATTTACAGAATTTTAGTTTTGACTTCAAACGGGGCAGCAGTAAACGAGACAGCCACTTATTACCATATTCGAAGGGCAAAAATTACGTCGAATAGGCACTTAGCCCAGCAATACACGAAAAAGCTGCGTGCTTATCAAATTATAGACCATTCGGCGGGCTAGCTGCCGTGTTTTGGGCGCAATTATTAAGCAATTCGAGATTATGAAAACAAGCACTTTGGCCGGCCGGCGGAGATGCTCGCTCAGCCTCTCGCTCTATCGCTCCCAGCCATTACTCGCGGGATGCATTGCGCGCGTGTCCAAGATGGCGGCGGCCCCGGTGACGCGGTCAGCAGGGGCGGAGCGAGCCGAAGAGATTTACTCGCCGAAACAGCGGCTTCCCGAACCGAAACAAAGGGTATTCTTTGCCATTCTTTTAGCTCATTAGCCTAGCTAATCAATCAGTACAGATTTAATTAGATGGTGGCGCGAAAAGCCGCGAATTCTGCGCCGAGAGCCTTTGAAGCTCCGCCATTCGAACCCCCACCAGACGCACTCGGCGTCCTCACTCATGCCTGTCAAAATACTTTGCTTCTAATCGACCGGTGCGTCTTGCTCGCTTCTAATAAAGTTCGGCAAGGCTAATCGACCGTACCAAGCAGATAGATTGACTAGTACAACCCGAGTAAGAAGCATTTCAATCAATAAAGTGGAAATAGTGCTCTCGCAGTAATGGCAGGCCAAGGAAGGGGAGGCGCCAACTCTCTCTCATTCCAACTCAACAGTGGAGCTGCTTTTTGTGCATGCAAATTCCTTCTTGAACAATTAGTCAAGCAGTGTGCTATTTTAATAGGAATTCCTTGCAATTAGAGTAATGTTAAAGCAATTAAAATGGCACTGAGAAAAAAATTTAGTCAAAACAATCTGCATTTTTTGTGCCTGTGCAGGAATTTTAATGGGCTTAATGACATGTATGGGCAAACCTCGGAAAATTTAATATTTATAGTTTGAAGTCATATAATATAGCGCTAAAAAAACGCTTTTAGGTTGAATATTATTTAAATAACTTTATTTGGTCCTTTAAAATTACTGTTCCGGATGCATAATTTTAAAAATGTCTGTAAAAATTCTTGATTGTTAAAGTGAACCCCTTAACTATATAATGTAAATTGTTAAGATTCAATTGCCAGTTCCTCAATGCAAATTTTGATTTAGAATTAACTAACTGAAATTTAAATAAAATTATAAGTTTCAAAATCGACGTCAATAAATAAACAGAGTTAATTTTTTTTAACATGTACAATTTCGCAGTATTCATAAATTCCACTTTTAGTATTTTTACCGTGAATCGTTATTGATTTTAATATGATCCTGCTTTTTAAATCATTTTTTTAAAAATTACTTTTTCAGTAAACCTAAAGAATTAATGATGTCTAACAGGTTGCATAACTTTGTCAGGAAATACTTATGATTAATAGCAATTTACTAAAATCTTGATTTAAATCTTCAAAATAAATCGCCTCAACTTGGCGCAAAATCTGACGTTTGACACTTTATGTGAAAACAAATGCTTTCTTTTTTTTGCAATGAGTAATAAATAGAAAGGGCAATTCAACTCGGGCCGTATAAAAATAATGGCAGTGTCGAGGGGTTTGTTGGTGCGCGGTTTTTTGAATGAGGAGCAGCTAGTGTAACTATACTCTTACGTTTTATGGACACTTTAACAGTTGTGTAAAGCGATCGTAAAATTCTTTATGACCACCATTCATATAACCGGCGGCATCGGTCGGTCGGTTTTTCGTACGGAGCAGGCAAAGAGGATGCGGAGCCGCGCCGATTTCGGATGCACGCCTCGTCTTGGGTGCGATGATGTTTTCAATTGATTGATTGTGCGTACAATGGCTACTCGTCGGCGGCGCGCCATTATGAGGGTCGCATGCATTATTGTTATTACGGGCAGGCGATAATCAAGTCATAAAATAATCAACTTTAGCGCCATAAAGTTTAATTTTATGGCCCCATAAAATAATTTTTACGTCTTTTAAAATGTTTCTTTATGGTGCACGCATGTACACACGAGAGTTGGCTTTACGACTGTAAATATTTACATTGCGAACTCTCGGCGGCGCTTATCATTTTTTTTATCGCTGATACACATGTCTGTAGAGGCGTATATTGGGTTTGAAAGATTGTTCTATCTGCCACCGCCTCATATTTAACACCTTTTATTTTTTAATTGAAAATTTTTTCCTGTGGTTCGTAATTTATTTTGGTCGGTGCCTTTTTTCTCATACCCATGCAAACATGTGCGCTGCAGCAGGGGGAGCACGTGGAAATGGGCTAATTTACACGTCCGCGGCTCGGCTCATTTTATACACTGCTCTGTGCAAGCAAAAATGAAACCTTTATTATTATGAAGTGCCATGGCGCCATCACACACATACACGGCCGGCAGCAGCACTTCCTTGCCCATTTGCACGACCCGCAAGCGTGCAATGCAAATTAAATTGAAACTTTTTATATTCATGAAGTGCGCAATAATATACATCGTAAAAGCTGCACGTTCTAATTACATTTTACTTACTTTTTCCTCTGGATATTTTTGCAATAGATTAATTGAAAATTTCCTTTATTTTTTTTTATTTATAAAAATATTTAAAAGACGGGTTAAATTTCTTGCATTTTTTTTTTAATAATTTAAATATATGTTTAACCGGTTAATCAAACTCTATGTATTTTTTATTTTATTATTTTGATGTTCTTGATTTTCTACGATCACATTTATGCCACAAAGTAGAACCAAAGGAGCGTGAAAATTTTTGATTTTGTTCGCGAGGTTTCTCTCTTTCTTTTGAACAAAAGTATTGATGCGACCATTTGGGTCTTCTGTTGTGCCTGCGAGTCAGATAAAAGCCGAGCGAGATCCAAACTCTTTTATCATGCCAATAAAATTTGCTGATGTGTTTCTTTTTTGCGTGCCGCCCAAACATTTCACAAAGGCAGTCCTAGTCACGAGTTTGCCATTGTTACCATTAGCACGTCATAAAACTCCTCACGCCGAAAATGCAACCTCTTGATCCGAGCCCTCGCTCTGCCGCTCTTCAGTTAATAATCCAACTAAACCAAAAATATTTTAAAACAGTTATCTTTGTAAAACATATTGTTACCAAAAAAATTTGTAACTTCTTTTATTAATAAGTCTTATTATTACATACTATTTTTTTTTCATTTTTTTCAGTCAAAAAACCAATTTTTGAATATATATCATATATTTTTACATTTTTATTTATTTTAAATATTTACTAAGATTTAGAATAGCAAAATAAAATTGTTGGAAGATCATAAAAGTCAGTTGCTCAAAATGAACTGTCTTTTGTTATGTAATTGCCTGTGTGTAATAAATCACTTAAGATAATTCTAATTAATATAAGAATTTTGCGGGTTAAATATTTTTTCAGTTTTATTTTTTTATTTAACAGAATTTTTTTAGAAAGCATTGAAAATTTGTTGTCATTTTTAGCAAAAATTTCATCAATCTGTTTGTAAGAATTTTTGAACTTTCACATTTTGTGACGTCTTTAGCATCAATGTGTGCGACGTTCAGTCTGAAAAGAAAAGCCAAATAGTGGTGTTTTGATGAGCTAAGCAGCAACAAGCAGAGCACACAGTGTCAGTCTCGACAAAGGCCGGATGATCGTCGGCTCCTCTCGCAACACCGGGAGGATCGCGCAGTCATTACGACGCAAACGGGCCGCCTGAACCCCCAGCAAAAGGCATGGCGGCGGTCGTAGAGCCGGCTTTTATTACCTATAAAATTGTGAATGGCATGTTTAGCAAACTATATGACGTAGTAATAGTCATCTCGAGAGTGCTTAAGTCCTACTTAAATCTCGTGTCGCATTAAGCCGAGCGCACTTGAAATCGTGTGTCTGCGTGCGCGAATTTCGGTTGATATGCGCTGCTGATATGCTAATTGTTTCATTACACTTTTTACACGGCGTCTACTCTCGTGTCGGGCATGTTTTTGTTTACAAGTGCTCTCTGCTTGCCATGTTCAGCTTGCCCGTTCTATTTTAAATAGCAGAGAAAATCATCAACAATTTCATGAGAAAAATGTACAAAAAAGTCTATAATTTTATAAAGAAAATAAAAATGGCATTATATAGAGAAATTTTTAAAAAATTTCAAGTTTTTAAATTTTATATGCACAAGGGATTAACTTGAACTTTGAAACTCTCATATAATGGGAGTAGAGAGCGGCAGTCTTAATGGGCAAATGGCTGCGTAGCCGCGGGAAAGCAGTAACAGCAAAAGTTCGGTGTGGTCAGCTGTTCTCAACACTCGGCTGCGATCTGGGTTACACTTTTACAAACCGCTAAAATAAATCATTTTATTTCTAACTTCTCAAAACAATTTATTTATTCATTGGTTTTTCTATTTTTCGCCATTTTGATGTTGATTTTTGCATTTAAAATAATATAAATTAATCTTATTCAAATTAATTTTCTTTCGTTAATTTTGATTGCCATCAGGTAATTTTGCTTCTCATTGGAAGAGAACCATCATATTCAAGGCGCAAAAGTTACTGCTTTTTAAGTGGTACTTTGCAAAACTGCCTGCTGATGTCTGCTTATAAAAGGAGCAACGTTTTGAATTGCTGGCAATTACACCTGCCATCTAATTTCCATCAGCCGGTCTCTTTATTGCAAATCCATAATAAAGCATCTCAAAGCATGCAGGCTGTCACGATCTTGTTGGTTAGTATTAGAAAATTTTCACGGATACATTTGGTAAAATAGAAAATCAGCAGTATAAATATTTCGGCTTGAGATAAATCGTGAGATTGCCTTCCTTATTTATAACCCTTTGGCTGCTTCTCGTTTTTTTAATTTTTTTACAAGTAGGCATGAAGCCATTTCAGATTGCTCGTTAATAATTTTCTAAAGCCTCATCACGAATATCGCAGCAAGAGAGAATAATTCCTCGGCTAAGGAGGTGATTTAATCTTCCACGCGCATTTACAATTCTTAATAATGGGGGCATATTATCTTGTATTCAAAGTTTAAGTTGTAAAGAAGTGCACGCGCATTTTTAACGCCTTACGTAAGCTCGGCAATAAATCATGTGAGAAAGTCAAGATTAAAATAACTAAAATAAGAGAGCGTGTCTGGCTTTTTGAGCATTGTCATTAGATTGTATCAAATACGCAAAGCCAGCGGTTCTAAAATTCAAATGCAGGATAATTTCATGCCAAGCAATTTATCATTGTAAAATTCCAATCCCTCTCCTGTCCTAATTTGATTCAAATCAATATTCCAACTGCCTTTCTCCAGGTGAGTTTAATATTGCTTTTCACTTTCGAAAATTTCAATTCTTTTCGACTGGGTGTGGAGAAGTGCCAACTTTTATGCCCAGGAATAAAACAAATGCAAACAAAACCATAAATACGCCATTCTCTCCCTCGTCTCTGCTCCCCCTTTGTCTAGAGAGTCGGCTCATCTCGCATTCACTCTATAAATGGATTACGCACAACGCCGAGACTCTTTTTCTCTCCTGCTCGAAAAAAACAAAAAAAGTCAGATAGCTTTTTATTCCTGCATGTATATATACGACTGCACAGATTCAAGCTCTGCTGGAAACGAGGCAGGGAAATGGCGGTGGTCCTTGTCAAAAGCGACCGATGATGGATGCTTACGGATGCTGCGCTGCACGTGTTTGATGAATCCCCGGGCAACTCTCTCCCCGCATAAATCTGCTTTATTCAGTAACCTTGAAGCCACTTGATAATCATAATGATGATCACACTCTCTGCGGCGGGTCGATCCAGGCCCAAATCAATGCCCCTTGTCTTTCGCCAGCCAAACGTGGCCAAAAAAGTAGAAGAACTGGCATACGCGAGTCTCCTAAGAGTTAATTGGCGTAATTTTTACTAATTACACATTCAACTGGAGCCGTGTGAGAAATTTTTAATGATCGGTTTAGAAAAATAACATATCTGGGAACGTGTGCTGCTATAATTGCGGTATGAGTTATTTTTTTCATATAAGTGAAATTAAATCTTCCCTTCCAAGAAAGCCAAAAATTGGTTTCAAGATTTGAATATAATTATATTAATATTATTAAAATTGTGCATAGATTTCATTACTTTTTGCCGTGCTTATTTAAATTATTTTAAAATAATTCAAATTACATAATTGATTATTTTTGGAGAGATGAAATTCTAAATTAGGCAACCTGCGTAGCTTTGCTTTTTAAAATTAATTAATCTCCAAAAATTTCGAGATTTGCTTGTGCATTTATACTAAAAAGAAAGCTATTTCGGAAGAGTGTCTTCTTTTGTTGCTATGAGGGTGCTCGAGAAGGGTTGTTCAACTCTGCAGTGGCTGCAGCAGTGGCGTAAATCTGAGGAGAAAAATGCAACACACAAAGCCATAGCAGCACCCTTTGGTCCGTCTCCCTTTGTTCCCGCGCACCCATTGTCTATTATGTTTCAAGAAATCTAGGAGTCTAGGCTGACCCTCAGGCCAATAAATCAGCGCTGTTTGTGCTTTATATGAAAAGCGTCATATTCAATTCTTCTCGCAAAATCCAGACGCCAACAATTTTGAGAAGCAAACAATGCATCATTGTGCGGCGCGGAAGCTCAAGGTCCCTGAACTACACCCTTTTTGTTAAGATTTTTTACCATTGATATTTTTTTTTTAAATAAGTCAAGAGAAGAAAATATATTAAAATGTAACAGCTTTAGAACATATTATACTTTTAAAAGAGCAAAAGTAAATTGGATTTTTCTTTAATAAAAATGTAAATAAATCTTGATTGAATTATTTTCTCATGTTCATTCAATAAAGACACCCTCTTAAAATGCATAAATATCTTTTGAGTAATAACATTAACTTGCTCTATAGCTCCCCTGCTTATTTTCTTTGAACGCCCACTCGATAGAAATGAATAATTTATAAACAAAAAACGAGAGGCGCGCGCGCAAATCTATTTTATTTGAATAAAAGTGAGTGCTGCAGAATAAAATAGGCCATTGCGCCAACCTTAAGAGCCACGTTTTCATTTCTGTATTGCAGCCATCATGGCTCTTTTAGATCCAATAACACCCGAATCTGGAGAGCTGCTGGGGGAGATACCTGCATTCGAGCGACAGCGCACTCGGGGGTGAGCAACCCCCGGAGCTCTTTTGACTCGCGTCGCTCTGCACAAAAGTTCGATTTTCACAGGGGTTCTTGCAGGGTTGGGCAGCAGTTGGGTGTCGAGTTTTATCTCGGCGGCGGAATCGAGCCGTGCTTGTGCTTGTGTGTGGCTGTGAGAGAAAACGGCAGCCTTCAATAAATCACGCACTTTTGCCGGCTGAATTGAATACTGATGAGCGGCGATGATAGCACCGCAATAATAATGCCAACGCATATTTTCATACTTTCTGCTCAGGCTCACATACTTGTAAGGCTTCTTCCTCGCCGCCGTGGGTTGGAGACGCAAGAGAAAGATACGGCGGAGAGTTACGAGTTTCGTATTATTCCAACTCTCGGACTGAATATTAGATTTCCTGAGCCGCTGCGATGACATTCTGTTTATTTTCGGATTGGTGAGAGCGACGATTCTATCCCGTCGACTGCGGGGTGCAGCGAGGGAGGGCGGAAGTTGGGGTCATGTGACTAGAAAATTTAATCCGTTCGGGTCTCCAGTTAAGAAAAACTTTGGTTTCCTTGACACGTTCTGAATGTCTGTTGGGAATGTTTTCTTCAAATTGAAAATGTAATCAAAATCTAGAAGGCCACACACAAAGAAATGAATTTTATTTATTTGATAAAAATAAAAATTATGTTTGTTTTTCTGATATTTTTAATTAATCCATTAATTTGCTTTATACATTTATCTCAAGGAAAAAATATTTGTTTATCCATTCAATTGTTGAAAAAAATTTATTTAAAAAAAAATTAATGGACAAATCAGCACCACCACTAGCAGAATTTTGCTGTCGAGATGATATATGCGATATTTAAAAATTTAAATTATATTTTAAATATTCAAATAATTATTTTCTCTAGTAATATATTCTTAGTTTTAAATTGAAAGTCAAATTGCTAATTTGATTTTTACTTTTTACGATGTTGAAACTGGCTTTACCTTAATATGGCATAAATCTGAAATTTAAAGAATTAATACTTGAGTTAATTTTTTACATTATTAATAAATTTTGAAATAACTTAAATTTTCAGATTCATAAAGATTGTATTAAATTTATTAGTTGACTGCAGTATATTTTCCTTATTATTTATCTGTCTTGTTATTTATCAAGTGCGGAGTTTGCTCTCTGCGTGAGAGTTGTGTGTTTGTTTTGCAGAAGTGTTGTCGATAATGAAATTGAAGTGCTGTGTGCGAAAACATGGCCATATTGCATCGGAGACGAGCAGCAGGGAGAATGCCTTTTTGTACTTCTCGCCCCCATAGAAGAGGCACTTTCGCAATGTAGCAAAATGTCTTTTCTCGCCTCATAGGAAGAAGACGTCGTCGGAGCTAAGCAAACACTCCCTCGACGCCAGCAGGTCTCAGCAAGGGAGGCCAAACGAGGATGGGAATAATAATAAGAGAAAGAGCGCCAGCAGCAGCCAGAGAAAGAGAGAAAGAAAAAAACTCACACAGCTCTTTTCCTCTCGTCGTCGGATCCACATTGTATTTCTGCCGCCGCTCCATATTTCTTTTTTATCTCCATAATATTCTGGGAAGGATTTTCTGCTGTCGCTGGCTTCTCTCTAATGTATTGATTCATAATGCAGCAGCGGCGCCATTTACATATT